CCCTCCTTCCCCCTTGGTCAGTCCGACCGAGTTAGTCGAGGCAAGAGGAGCTGATTATGAGGAAGAAGAGCCGGTGGATGAAGAGACCGAGGTCGAGGAGCCGGAGAATGAGCAGCAGACTGTCGGGGAGGGAGCAGAAACGGAGCCGTTGGTTGGAGGGGAGAGGACCGAACCGGTGGATGGCGATGATGGGGAGGCTGTTGAGAAATCGACTGCCAATTCTCAGAAAAATTGAATATTTGCTTCTGTAGTTTGCTTGTTGCGTTGTTGTTTTTTTTTTTGTGTGTCTCGACCCGTGTTTTGATCGTCTTGTGAGGGTCGAGACGATCTATTATGTATGAATCTCATCAATTCAGTATCTTTTTTTCTCTTTTGTTTTTTCAATTCTCGTGGATGTCCATGCTTTGTTGTTATCTTGCTTCGACTATCTCTAGCCGCAAGTGTTCGCAGTGTTTGCATTGATGCTTTCCTTTGATTATCTGGTAATTTTTTCCTCGTCTTACCGCATCTCCCGTCTTCTCTCCACCCTTCTTGCGAGCTGGTCAAAGACGAGTAATGGTACTTATCAGCTTCATAGCTGGTATTCTCAAGTTTTTCAGCACGTCTTCTCCCAACCCTCTCTTGCGAGCTGGTCGAAGACGAGCAATGGTACTTATCAGCTTCATAGCTGGTATTCTCAAGTTTTTCAACCCGTCTTTTCCCAACCCTCTCTTGCGAGCTGGTCGAAGACGAGCAATGGTATTTTAGCAGCTTCATAGCTGATACGAAGTTTTTCAGCCCATCCTCTCCCAACCCTCCTTGCGAGCTGGTCGAAGACGAGCAAAGATATCTATCAGCTTCATAGCTGGTATTCTCAAGTTTTTCAACCCGTCTTCTCCCAACCCTCTCTTGCGAGCTGGTCGAAGACGAGCAACTATATCTATCAGCTTCATAGCTGGTATTCTCAAATTTTTCAGCCTGTCTTCTCCCAACCCTCTCTTGCGAGATGGTCGAAGACGAGTAACAATATTTATCAGCTTCATAGCTGATATTCTTGGATCTTAGGGATGTAGTCATTCGTATCATGGTCATAATGGAAGATTCTATTTCAAATACAACCTCGTAGTTGTTTTAAGTTGATTTTATAGCTGTAGGCTGCGTGGTTTAGTCGATGTTCTACTCGAGAGATACAACTTCGTAGTTGTTAAAGGTCGACTTTGTAGTCGAAAGCCTCGTAGCTTAGTCGAGATTCTACTCGAGAGATACAACTTCGTAGTTGTTTAAAAATCAACTTTGTAGCTGTAAGCTTCGTAGCTTAGTCGACATTCCACTCGAGAGATACAACTTCGTAGTTGTGTAAAATTGACTTCGTAGTCGTAGGCTTCGTAGCCTGTTTCGAGATTCCACTCGAAAAATACAACTTCGTAGTTATGAAAAATTGACTTCGTAGTCGTAGGCTTTGTAGCCTGTTTCGAGATTCCACTCAAAAAATACAACTTCGTAGTTGTTTTAAGTCGACTTCGTAGTTGTTGTAGTTAGTCGGCTTCATAGCCGTTTTGAAAAATTCAATTTTTCAAGTAATCATAATAAGGTCGACATGCAAATATGAGGAGACGCAATTGAAATATAAACTTGAAACTCATTTCATTACTGAATTTGATTTGGATATTGCTCAGTACAAAAGAGGATTTGAAAACATTGCCTTAAGCGTAAAAACGTTTGAGATGTATAACATGCCAGGATCGTGGCAATCGCCGACATTCTGCGTCTTCGAGTTCATATGCACCTCTCTCGAGTACTTTGATGACAGTGTAGGGTCCTTCCCAGTTAGCTTCGAGCTTCCCGACATGCTTGAGGGCGTCGGCTCGGTTGAGGACGAGATCCCCCAGTCAAAAATGTCTGGTCCGGGCCTTTTTATCAAAAGCTGCACGTATCTTTTGGTTGTACTCAACGGATCACACCCAAGCTTCTTCTCGTCCTTCTTCCATCAGGTCGAGGGCCTCATCTATCATTTCCTCGTTCCACTTATCCTTGTAAAATGTTAACCGATGAGAGTTTAATCCAACTTCGATTGGCAAGAGTGCGTCCATTCCATAGATCATATGAAATGGAGATTGACCCGTCGAGCTTCTTGGAGTCGTCCTGTAAGCCCACAAGACTGTTGTCAACTCGTCGACTCAGGCTCCCGATGCTTTCTCCAATCTCTTCTTCAACCCTTGGAGAATAGTTCGATTAGTTACTTCGACTTGCCCGTTTGCTTGTGGATGTGCAACCGAGGCAAATCGCTGTTTAATCCCCATGTCGAGACACCATGCTTGGATCCGCTTCCCCTGGAATTGAGTTCATTATCCGAAATACTTTCGAAACTCCAAATCGGCAGCATATGTTGTTGAACATGAATTGAATCATTTTTTCCTCTGTGATTTTTGCTAAGGGTTCTGCTTCGACTCACTTACTAAAGTAGCCGACAGCGACCACCAAGAACTTCCTCTGTCCCATTCCCATTGGCAACGGGCCTACTAGGTCGATTCCCCATTGAGCGAAGGGGATTGGAGTATTGATTGTCGTCATATGTTCAGCTGGGATGTGAGTGACTTGCCCATGGCGTTGGCACTTTTCGCATTTTTGGACCAACTGTTCCGCCGCTACTGGAATTTTAGGCCAATAGTGGCCTGCTCGTAAGGCCTTTCCCGCTACAGCTCGGGACCCTACGTGTGCTCCACAACACCCTTCATGGATTTCTCTCAAGACTTGCATTCTTTCTTCTGCAGAAACGCATCGTAGATGGGGCCCGACTAGTGACTTCTTATACAAAATCCCCTCGACTTTGAAGTATTTGCTGAGGTATCGAGCAGCTTTTTTCGCCTCTTGTTTGTCTCCCGAAGGCACTTGTCCCTGCAAGAGTTGGTGAATGGACTTCCTCCAATCATCCTTCTAGTCGAGTTCCATTGTCTCGTTCAACACACTTCCTTCTAAGTGCATCATGGTAATGTGGCCTCTTATTTTCTCTTCATTGGAACTTGCGATCCTCGCGAGCCAGTCAGCTTGTTTGTTCTCCTCTCGCGGGACTTGTGTTAACTCAAATTTTTCCAGGCCTTGTATGAGGCTTTGAATCTCCTCGACATATTTCAACATTATGTCTTCCTTTATTTCGCAATTTCCCAATACTTGCCCCACAACGAGTTGCGAGTCAGAGTGCGCCGTGATTTCTGTCGCTCCACCACCAATTGTGAGTTGAATTCCTTTGATTAGTGCCTCATACTCCGCTTCGTTGTCCGAGGCCTTGAATCCCATCCTGATGGAAAAGTCGAGCTGCTCGCCCTCAGGGGATACGAGGACGACTCCCAATCCTGACCCTTTGGCTGCAGAGGATCCATCGACATGTATGACCCATTTTTTTCTTCTCCCTTGGTGCCTTCTTAGATAAAATCTGCCAAAGCTTGAGCTTTTATGGCTCGTCTGGGCTCGTATCTGATGGATTATTTGCTCAACTCGACTGCCCACTTCACGAGCCCACCTGAGACAGTAGGTCGACCCAAGGTCTCTCCGAGCTGAAAGTTTGTCCTCACCACTATCATATGATTCAGAAAGTACGGCCTCAACTTTCAAGCCGTTATTACCAATGTTAAAGCAGCCTTCTCGACTTCAGAGTATCTTATCTCGGCTCATTGGAGTACTCAGCTGGTATAATATATCGGCTGCTGGGAGCCTCTTTATTCTCGCAATAAAACTGAGATCAGCGAAACCACTCCAACCGAGATGTACAACACCAATTCATCACCGAGCTCGGGTTTTGTTAACAAGGGCAATCCACTCAAGAATTCTTTCAACTTTTCAAACGCCATCTGGGATTCCTCACTCCACACGAAACTCGACTTCTTCTTAAGTAATTTAAAGAATGGGAAACTTTTCTCCGCAGCTCAAGCAATGAACCTGCTTAGGCCAGCGATTCGACTGGTTAGGAATTGCACCTCCCTGATATTCCTTGTTGGGGCCATGTCGAGTATAGCCTTCACCTTTTTCTTATTTACCTCGATTCCTCGTTCCGTGACAACGTATCCCAAAAACCACCCTGTCTTTACTCCAAAGGTGCATTTGCTCGGGTTAAACTTCATCCCAAACGCTCTAAGAGTCTTAAATGTTTCCCTTAAATCGTCTGGGTGTGAAGTCGAGGACTTACTCTTCACCAAAATGTCGTCAACGTATACTTCCATATTTCACCCGATCTGGGGTTTAAACATGCAATCCATCAATCGTTGGTAGGTTGCTCCTGCATTCTTGAGTCCGAAGGGCATGAGGACATAACAATACGTCCCCTTGCTCGTCACAAAGCTCACTTTACTCTGGTCCTCGGAGGCCAAGGGAATCTGATGATACCCTTGAGATGCGTCCATCATACTCAACAATTCGCAGCCAGCCGTGGAGTCGAATAGCTGATCAATTCTTGGTAAGGGATAATGATCTTTGGGGCACGCTAAGTTCAAATCACAAAAGTCGATGCACATGCGCCATTTGTTCAGTGTCTTTCTTACCATCACCGTGTTCGATATCCATTCAGAGAATTGGATTTCCTTGATGTGTTTGGCTTTCAGCAGCTTATCTACCTCGACTTTGATTTCTTTGTCGATCTCAGCTCCATGATGCCTGAGTCGCTGCTTTACAGGTTTTTTGAGGGGGTCGACATTGAGTTTGAGCTCCATTACCTCTGGGCTGATTCCCGTCAATTCTTCAGGGGAAAAGGCAAATATGTCCTTGAATTCCTTCAACAACTCCACCAATTGTCTGCGCAACTCGTCCTCCAACTCTCTCCCGACTTTGGTGGTTTGGTCCTCCCTCTCCCCGATTTGGATCACCATTAATTCTCTATGTGGCTCGAGGTCACTTCCTCTCGGACTCTTTTCACTCGTCATCGGCTTTTTTCCATCTCTGATTTCAGCTCGTTGGTTGGTTTTCACCGCAATTTGATAACAAGTTCTTGATAGCTTTTGATCGCCTCAAGCCTTTCCAACTCGATCTCCGACAGGGAATTTTAGTTTCATATAGTAAGTCGATACTACGGCCTGAAATGCATTAAGCGCTGGCCTCCCCAGAATCACGTTATAAGCCGACTCGACATCAACTACTACGAATCTCACCATTTTCACCTTTCTCAAGTCGCCCTCCCCTAAGACGACAACGAGCATAGTCTCTCCTAGGGACGCGACCTCTGAACCATTGAATCCGAATAGCAAGGTGTGCAGGGGTGTGAGTTGTATGTCGAGCTCTATCCTCTTAAGACAATCATAAAAGATCACATTCACCGAGCTCCCAGTGTCGACAAATACTCTCTGCACTTCATAGCCCGACACTTGGGCAGTTATCATCAAGGAATCATTGTGCGGTCTCTCGACTTCACCCACATCTACTGGCCCAAAGTTCATCATCGGGCCGTTCCCGTCCACTTGCTGTATCTCGGCTGTCGCATGTCGACCACGAGCATACGCCTTTATGGCACGATTTGAATCTTCGTCAGTTGGCCCGCCAAATAACATGTCAATCACTCCCCTCTTCTGGGGAAGCTCCTCCTTCTCAGGTGTTCTCACCCTCTTGCGAGGACTTCAGCTTTTTTCCCTTCGCCGACTGGTCCTTTCTCGATCCTTATAGATGAACTCCTTCAGATACCCTGCCTTGATTAGCCTTTCAATTTCGTCTTTGAGGTGCCTGCAATCGTCGGTGTTGTGTCCATAATCCTTGTGGAATCGACAATACAGGTTGCTCTTGGGCTTCGTTGGTCCATCCTTCCTCGTCTTGGGCCATCTGACGACATTGTCATTGATCTCCTTTTCCATCACCTCCAATATCCTCGCTTGAGGGACCGACAAAGGGATGCATTGAGTCGGCCTCCATCCCCTAGATCGTCCATCCCTATCTGCTCTCGGGGATCCTCTCCTCTCTCCCAACGGGTTTTCTTTTTTGTCTTTCTTTTCGCCTCGGGGTTCGGTTTTCGCCTTTGCTGCTTGCAAGAAGTCGGCTTCCGCCTCCTCGACATTCATGTATTTGGCACATCACTTCATCGAACGTCCTACCAGGTCGCTTCGCCAGAGAATTCCTGCATAAACCTGGTAGCAGTCCCCTGGTCAATCCTCCCGACTTGATTTCTTCTGTGTCTGAGGGCACGTCGACACAAGCTCGTGTATACCTCGCCACATAATCTCGCAGCGACTCTCTTTCTTTTTGCTGCACCTATCATGGTAAGGTAAGGAGAAACACTTGCAAATTGGTTCAAGAAACTCGAGCTAAATCCGTCAAAGTTCCTGACGGCTCCTGGAGGCAATTGGTGGAACCAGTCTTGCGCGGGTCCTCGCAGGGTCGTTACGAATGCTCGGCATTGAACATGATTGTTATAACAATGCAGAACCGCCATATTCTCGAAACTCCACAGATGTTGAGAAGGATCAGTCGAACCATCATACCAAAAGTTCAACTCTCTAAACCCCTGTGGCAAATCGGCATCCAAGATATGCTGCGAGAACGGGTGTCCTCTTGAACTTCCAGTTTTCCTTCCCTCCACTCGAGCCTGCAAATCTCGCACTTGGGCCATCAGCTGTTCCAAAGTATCATTCCTCGCCTGCAGATTAATGGTTCTCACAGAGGAATCTTCCTCATTCGCCCTCCTGCTCTGCCTCTCATGGGACTGCGCTTGTTGCTCACGCTCAGGTTGTTGCTCGATCCTGGGTTGCTCGATCTAGGTTGTTCTACCTGCACCTATTTGAGTTGGGCCATCACCGCTTCCACAATCATCTTTTGCATCTCGCTTCTCGTCATCGTCAGTGTATGCTCCTCGACTTGGGGTAATGGCCTCGTCCCCTGCTCCAACACTTCAGGCTGCCTTCCTAAGCTCAAAGACTCTCTGTTGATTCCTGCCCATCGACTCCCGTACTCGTGCTCTTCACGTGACTAGGTCCTCCTTGTGTGAGCACCGGGATTTTCACCCCAGGTGGGGTAATAGGTGTTTCTTCTTTCATACGCGCTCTCGACGGCGCGTGCCCAACAAACGGTGGAAAGCCGAAAATCAGCAGCGTCGGTGTGGGGTTAGAATAAGTGGAGGCCGCTTGTCCGTCCATGTTCCCCTGAAATCCTCGCTTAGATTCCTTTGCAGTCCTTCTTTCTCCGCCATCTCCGAACATATCTGAACCAGGTGCAAAGCTCTTGTTTCCTTTAAGAACCCCCCACGGTGGGCGCCAATTTGATGGGTCTCCTCCTAGATCTGGAGTGAACCGGTGGAAATGGGCTCTGATCTGCTCGAACCACCGTTAAATCGTCTCCGAATTGCAACGAACAGCTGCAAGAACTCAACACCGAAAGTGTTTCAGGTGAAGAGCCTCCGACGCTCAAGTCAGTATGAGAGTGATGAAGATGAGCTCTGCTCAGTAGGAGCAGCAGCTGGGCAATGAATAGAGAGAATGAATGTTAGGGTTTGGAGTTACCTCAGCTCCTTTATATAGGGGCAAAACACTTACCTGAAGTTCTCAAAATGCCCTGGCCGACTTACGCGAAGTGTCCAAAATGTCCTGGTCGGTTCACATTCCGTCCACCTTCTAGTCAGCATCTAGATTCCTTCTCATCCTAAGTAGATTCACTCTTGCTTGGAGGTTTTCCTAAGATATGTTGTATATAGAAGTCGTCGGAGGTCTTGGTGCCTCGAGGTGTGAAAAGTCGACTTCGGGCATTGTCTAGTCGACTTTTGTCACTTGCGCGTCCGGAGACTATGTTGTGCCCGCTCGTCTTCTTGAGGAAAGTCGACTTAGACTCAATCGACTTAAGAAAATCGTCTTGGAGCCGCTATCGGGTTGATGGCGATCCTTGGTTAGCTGATGAACCCAACCGACTTCAAGGAAGTTGACTTGCTGATGTCGTCATTAATGCTCATCCGATCGAGTAACCCACATCTGAACTGGACTACGACAATAGGGCTATATCAAGGGTATTTATATATGTAAAAAAACACCTCCAGCTAGTTTATATATATATACACATATATATATATATATATATATATATATATATATATATATATATATAGCATATTTTGGCATGTACCCTGACGAGAACAGATGCACCTGAAAGCCAAAAAAACAGCTTATAGACATCATGGGACCTGACCATTACGGTCTACGACAAGCATTGACCCTGACAGCTAAAAACTAATCAAGACAGCTGAAAAACCATCGTGGGCCGGGACGGAGCTAGTTGCGAGCCTGCGTGCTGTGAGCCTGTATGCAAACATCCAGGATTCCAAAAGTGTGTGATTGGATCTAATCGTCCCATAACAAACCTTTTTGAATTCTAGTGTGCTTAGTGCATGATTATATATCCAACATTTTTTAGTTAATTAGACATATACTTGCCCATATATACTACATAGAATTAATTTTTTGACAGACTCTTATAAATCCAACATTTTTTAGTTAATGACTTATATTTGCACATATATGCTACATAAAATTAATTTCTCATTCACGACAAAGACAATTTTTAGAATTTTTAAATTTTACATTTACGAAATATGATATCATCAGTTATAAGCCAATTATATTTTGTAAACAAATGTGATAAACTAACATTCTATATGCATTTTTGTTTACAATATTATTTTAACTGTTGGGCTATCTAACAACATAATATATAATATTGTAAAACATCTATAAATTTTGTGTTTGCATAGCCTACCTCTTCATGATAATCCTAGTAGTATTATATTGCTTAATGATCTATAATACTTGTGTTTGCATAGCCCACCTCTTCATCATGTACCAAAACGAATCAGCAATACCAGTAGTATAGTATTGCGATTTATGATGTACCAAAATGATATTTCTGAATTGTGAATTGAAGAGCAAGGAATCATTGGCAAATCATCTCCATGCCTTCATCATTCAGATAACACTCAAACTAAAAGTTAGCTTAGCGATGACATGGCTGCAGATCACAAAATAAAATTTTCTGCTCCACTTTCGTTCCATTTCGTATTCTATAATACGAATGACACATATACAAGATGATTCGTATACACGTTACAATCATCATCCAACAAAACAGAATACAAAATTGAACATCAAAGTGGAACAGGAAATCTGATCTCACATATCACACATAGACATGGCCACGGGTCGAACCGGCCCGCCGAACCGGCCTGGACCCGGCCCGAACCCGGCCCGGACCGGACCCGGACCGGAAAAGCCGGTTTTCGAACCGGAACCGGACATCTAGAGGGCCGGTCCCGGGCCTCTTCGGTCAAAAAAAAAACCCGGCGGGCCGGGCCGGGTTCCGGGTTTTTGAGCCAACGAGGAAGAAGAAGAATATGTGGGGCCCGACCCGGAACCGACTCGACCCTCCGGGTTTGCGACCCAGCGGTTAAGGGCCGGTTCAGTGAACCGGCCCTTAGTTACAAGCAGGCCGGGCCCGGTTCACTACACGGTGAACCGCCGACCCGGCGGGCCGGGCCGGGCCGGGTTTCGGCCCGACCCGGCGGGCCTTCAGGAATCCAACTTATAAAGGGTCTAATAACATAAGGACTAATAATGCACATGCCAAGCCTCCGGGGCATAGGCGGGTTGGTTCTACCAATTGCAGGAAGTGGATGCCATCCACTATGCGGGGAGTTCGAACCATGAAAGAAATCTGAGACAAATTTTCTGCTAAACAATTTATGGTGGCAAGGGCTTCCTGGTGGTGCTGGCTGCAGAGGATCAGTCCGCCGCAACCCGCAGTTAACACCTCCCCCCCCCACTCTCTGAGGCTTGGAGGCTTGGGATCCAGGGTATCCAAAAAAAAAAA